CTCTCTCTCTCTCTCTCTCTCTCTCCACTCTCTGATTATCTGAGCTTACATTAACAGGCCCATACAAAACTATATTTATTGCCAATAGTAAGCATTCTAATTTTTGGAGATGTTTCAGAAATTTGTCTACAATATCTAAAAATAGGATGACACCAAATTCACTTTTTTTCATGACTGAAACCTAAAGAAGACCAATACTGCAAGTAGCCCCTAGTCAGTATGTTACTATAACTGAAAACTAACCTGAGAAGATTCTCTATCCCTGGCATCTGATGTTGATCTTGAATCCATCACATGGGTTACTTCAGCATAAGCACTGAAGGTAATGTAATGTTGATTAGATCAATGTTATTGTACAAGATCCTTCTAAGTTATATGGTGGGAGAGGTTTTAGTACCTCTGCCCAGGCTTAACACTTTAGTTGCCTGCCACCAAACACAACTTTTTAGTATCATTCACAGGTCAAACCTACTGGGAAATTATGAGCATTTACTTAATTTTTATTCTCAACCCCAGTACTTTATTCATTTCCATGGTGTTTTTGTTTTAGAAACAAGTTAGAGAACTCTCCAGGGGGTATAGAAATAGCTACCAAAAAATATAGACCATATAACTGGAGTTATCCTCTAAGGTCTTCAGTAGTAAATAAGGAGGGCTCCCTGCACTAAGTGATGCTTCTAAGATTGACTTAGTTAAGGGAAGCTGCTGTTGCCACAATCTATGTAAAAGATTATAATGAGCTGGTATCAAAATACCACTGAAAATAATCAACTTACTACATTTATACATTACCCTTCCCTTCATTTTTCTTTTTAGGCATGTACTTTACAATCAAAACATAGAATTAAAAACATTGAAATATCGGCACAGAAATTACACATTCATTGTCTTTTCTGGAGTTACGTATCCCAGAATCAAAAAAGCTATGGCAGTCAGAGGCAAATGGAGTTAAGGTACTACCTTCAAACAGGAGGAAAAAAAAAAAAGAAAAACACTCCATAGATAGCAAGAAAAAGAGGCAATCCCAAATTTGGGAGAAACTGGGTATCTTAAAAAACCTTTAGTACCATATGACTGGCAGCTCTGAGATTTGAAGTATCCTTTGGTTCACACAAAAGGTAGCAGTCATGTTTTCATTTTTATGTATAAAAAAAGGTGGTATTTTAAGAAAAACTCAAGGGATTATTTTTGAAACCATCTTAAATTCTTCACATAGATTTTCAATTTCTTGGAGATGTTCCATTATGTGAGGGAGGGTGTGTGCTTATCCATATATACACACAGATAAAGACAAACAGTCTTTATATGTATGTTTATGTTCCTATGTAAAATCTTCATACATATGCACACAGATCCAGGCTCTCTCCTCACACATGCACATGATATATATATATACATATATACATATATATATATACACACACATATATATACACACACACATATATATATGTATATATGTATTCTCATTCTGAGTTACATAAAACATGACAACCTACTCAAATGTAATTTGCTTACAGTGATTTGTCTGCTAAAAAAATCCACAGTTCCTCAACAGTAGTTAAAATCCCAGGTCAGCTGCTATCTGTGAAATACTGTTTCCCTGTACTTGCATGAGGTAGACTTCCCAACCAGGTAGGGAAAACAATACATTAAGATGGACTATGTCTTTTTTCTTTTTTGAACAGAAGGCCCCTTTTTGTTTTGCTCTTCTGGAGCTGCAGATGCCTTTGTGGAGGAAACTTCTGGAGGTGACCTGCCTGACCATTCTGAGACCTCTGACCTAGCTTCCTGAGGAAGCAGCGGCGATGTATAGCCATGCCCTCCCCCAACTTCTCTAGGGGAGGCTGAAGTGCATGGCTGGGATTCTGCTTCCTGTCTTCCCTGAGAACTGGCAGGCAGATGTGCAACAGTTTTATGCGGGCAGTTTGCCACCATGTGCATGATGCTCTGACAGTAATGGCACTTCTTTGGCTGAGGAGGTAGACTACATTCCTTTGCATGATGATCAAGGCCACCACAGTTGTAGCATCTGTAAGCAAGAACGAGGAAAACACCTTAGAAATAAGTAACATGTGGCATAAAAATGTATGTAGTTTAATAATTATTAAAAGTATATAAAATAATAAATGGGAATACACACATAATTTAAGAATTTAACAAAATAAACTGTCAATGAGGTTAGTTTATTTTAATGTGCCTTCTTTAAAGTATATAACGTCATTTATAAAAATTATAATGACCAAAATGTTTCAGTAACTTTAGTTGTTATAAATACAATAGCCAGTGAAAAACAAGAGTATTAAAACACAACAGAAGATTCAATCATTTCCAGGTGGAAATGACTCATTTAAATTTGACAGGTTATTTTAAGAGAACAGTTTCGTCCACTAGAGGGCGGTCATCACTCAACGAAACCAAACAGTTTTAAAAATGAATAAAAATACATACAGCTGTTTGCTATGATATGAAAAAGCATCTCTTAGCTACTAGAAAAACTATAGACTGAATTAAATTTTATGAATTTAACACTTTTTGAGTGTTAATTATTTTGACTGTGAAAGCCAAAGGAGCTGGCAGAATTTTTTCCTTTATACAAAATTAACAGTGAAATGTGATATATAAGAAAGATACCTAGTAAGGAAGTCAGAATGATGTTTGGGGAAATTACCAAGTAATTTTAGAACAATACTGAAAGTGTGTGAACCAGAAAAGTGCTATAAAATAAATGTTTAAAATACTTAGATCACGTTAATAAAGACTGGTAATAGTTCAGTAACTGGAAAAATTTATTGTCTTTTCTTATATAGAAATGTGTCTTCCCTTAAATTCTCCTAAATTGAAATAAACATTAACCTATCCTTAAATCTTGACTGTGATATGGCATTGTACTAGATGTTTGAAAATTAGGCTTAATTTCTAAAAGCTGAGCAAGGAAATTATTTGAAGGATGTATTTGCTCAGATTTCCTTTCTATTAAAATTTTATGTTGAAACCAAAGAAGACCATAAAGTGAAGAAACTAACACCTGTATTTACAATGCTTTTTTTTTAAACCTGGTTACTGAACATTTAATTTCCATATTGATTTACTTCCAAATGAAATGTTTTAAAAGATATTTTAAATTTATTTTCCAAATACATAATTCTCATAATGAATAAATAACAATAGATCACAGTGTTTAAAAAACAGAAATATGTGGACAGTTAAATTTAAGATAAGAACAACCAGAATTATATGTGTGTGACAGAACATCAAGCTGGGCAACTTATACTGCCTCATATTTCAAAGACAAACTACTAATCTACAACTGACCTAATAAGCATTATATGCAGAATACTTAGTATTTTATGGTCTGGGATCAATTATAAAAGGTGAGAATTCTGAAATGGCAAAAATCAGGGAAACAAATGTGTTTTTTCAGTTATCAATGTTATTACAGAGACTTTAGATTCATAAAATAGGCTTTTATTTTTTGCAGTCATGAAAAGGTATTTATCTTAACAGAATAGGTCATATTTCTAAAAACTAAAGGGAAAAACCAAGAAATCAAATGTGCTAATTATGTATTTCTCACACAACTGCATACCATGAATTAACAACATATTACACTGCAGATTCAATATGTTTCAAACATGTTCTAAGAGATAGTAATGATTAAAGAATAAAAATTACTGATTAATGCCCGAACACTAAAAAATGGCATTTTTGAAAAATATATTACTTATAATGTTTTCCCATAAAGTTCTCTTCTACAATGGATAAGTGAATTCATAAATCAAATTTACTCATCTGTAAAATATCTTCTTCGGAATTAAATTCACTTCCTAAGAATGATATCTAGAAAGATCTCATTTTTGAAGTGAGAGAAAATAGGTTAAAGGCTTCAGTAATAGAGCCAGCTCTCCTGCGGACACATCAATTTCATCAGTCAGTGTGGTATGTACTGTGTTATCCAATTCAGGGAACCATTCTGCCCACTCACTGACCAAAGGGCTGATGTCAGAATTCCTCTTTCACAAATGGGGTCTTCAATCACACTCTGTGATACCATTATATGTGGGTTATAACACTTATTTTTAAGGATACTATATAATTTTGGTTTTCTTGCACTTTGATTTACATAGTAAATCTACCCACTTGGCTTTTTAGATGCATACTATCATTAGGCCAGACTGCCTTCTACATTGAAAAGATTAGCATTCAGTGTGTATCTGTTTAGTCTTAAAAGGGAAAGGAGTGGTACTTATTCTCCCCTATTTAATCATTCAATGTCAATCACCCTAAGAGTGCAGATCACGCCCAATTATGAAACCTCTTTCTTCCCAAGGGACTGACACCAAAATGGAAATATCCAGCTACCTTTTAACTCATGAATGATATCACAGCCACATACTCCTATATACAAGCTGGGCATGGTTCTAATCCCCTTTGTTCACTCCCACACTTCTCCAAATCAGTGTTTTTATTAGTTTGAATAAATTTTACATTGTGATGTGAACATAAAAGTGACTAGTGTTCCCACATATAGCAGCATGCTTAAGAAATGTAAGGACACAGCACCCGAAGAAAAAACTAAAGATAGAAAAATTATAATCATACTGTACTATATATTCCATAGCCACACATAAAAAAATAAAATCTGCTTAGCCCTGGATTCAATCCTTAGCATTGCCAATATTTTTAATAAATAAAGTTAAACACGTAAATAATTCTATAAAATGCTGAGCCAATGACACAAAGCGTTTTAACATATTAAACAGAAATATTTTCAATTTTATTACAGTTGTGTGATTCCTCCTTCAGAGTTCAACTTTCAAAGAAATGTCATCAGGGGATATAAAATTTGAGACTGTGGTTATGATCTTGAAACCAACTCCAAGAGCTCTCAGTAGAAATGCACAAATGATTTAATCTTTCATCATGACAATGTTGTGTCACATTGTTTCTAGTACAATAATTATAAATAAAAAAAAAACCATGGTGTATCTTCGTTCACCTTATTCACCAGACCTGGCACTGTGCAACTTCTGGCTTTTCCCCACAGTCAAAATGACCAAGAAAGATAAATATTTTAAGTCAATCAAGACATCAAGAGGGCTGGGGATTTCGCTCAGAGGTTCTGCCACCTGCTTTGTAAAGGCAAGGTCCCCAGTTTGATCTCCAGTACCAAAACAAACAAACAAACAAACAAAAAAACAAAAAAAAGACATCGAGGAAGCCACAATGAGAGAGAATTCAAGAACTCCTTCAGAAACTGACAAGAAAAATGGGTAAGTGTGCTTGAAGGTAAGCATGTATTTTGAGGAGGATCAAAGGCAATGTATTTTACTGTAATACAAGTCTTAATATTGACCATGTTTTCACCATTACCTTATACTGGAAAAAAAATTGGGTGTTTCTTAGTATTTGAGAATGTTAATTTAAGAATGTATATGGAAATTCAAATGCATATTCTGAGTGTCAAATGAAAGCATGAAGGACCTATATTCCTCTCAAAAAGAAAGCAATGTTGAAAAAATAGTGAATAAAGAAGTATTAAGGAGAGAGAATAGTGTGGAAAAAAGTGCAAACTTTGAGCTGGAACAAAATATAACTATAGGAAGAAAACAGATAAAAATTCCTGGGCCGGGGGAGAGTGAGAAAAAGCATAAATAAAGTTTCCAAATGTGAGGTCAGATAGGGCTTAAGATATGTCACAGGTTGGAAAGAATTTCACTAACTAAACTGAAGAAAAAGTAACAGAGTTTCTAAGAGCTCATCATTTCTAATCTTGATATAGTCCAACTAACGTACAGAAATGAGGAGCTAAAGGTATAACTTAGCATGTAAGAAACTTTGAACTTGAAACCTTGATTCAATACCCAGTCCCCCCTCCAATCAAGAAATAATACCAGTAATACTGTTATACTAAGATTTTCAATTTTAATATGTTTAACCATTTCATTTCTAATTCACTTGTGTGTCAATAAACCTAACACATAAATTTTGGATCCAAGTCTAGTGGTGGTGGGAAGTAGAGAGCAGGATTATCAGAGAACCCAGAGAAAAGGAAAGGATCCACAGCAGCATTTTTTTTGGCAGGAACAACCTGCACTCTGAGCGTCCTGAGAGTGAGACAGACTTTAAGAGCAACCTGTCAGAAGGTCCAATTTTGCTCTGAGAGCTTCTAAACAATCTAAATGTACACCTGGGTATGGTTTATTCTCTTCACAGGATCTTCCCCTTTTGAAATACCCAGGAGAGTCAAGAAACCCTTATGAACCAGAACTAGAGTGGTCCTTCACCAGTGCACACAGGGACCTCCATCAAGCCACCTCTTTACTGAAGTTGCTTTTTTATTTCATTTTTATGTTCATGCTCCATAAGACTGCAAGCCAATTAAACAAAATATTTTAATAAGGTTATTTTTATATATTCATTTTTTTTTTTTGGTACCAGGGATTGAACTCAGGTCCTTGTGCTTGCAAGGCAGGCCACTGAACCACTGAGCTAAATCCCCAGCCCATTTTTATATATTCTTAAGTAGTAGAAAATACTGAGTTTTTAATCATTTTGGTTAGTGGTGATACATACTCATTTTTAAGGTTTCCTAGAAAACAAATAAACATTTAATATCAGAAGAGTTTTCATTATTATTTAAAATGTAAAACCCAGTAACATTATTACTTTAATTTATGCTAAAAAATTCTACACATAGTATAGTATCCTGTTGAGAATTATAAAAATAATAGTTTCAATTTATTGAGTGCTTACTATGTTCTCAAAACTGTGCTAAATGTTTTTAATGTATTATACAATGTTCCCCTAAACTCTATGAAGTGGGTACTACAATATCTACATTGTATTGATGAAGACATTAAAACTTAGAGTAGGGGCTGGAGGGTTAGCTCAGTGGTTCTGCCGCCTGCCTCACAGGCACAAGGTCCCGATTGATCCCCA